GCGGGTTCCGCTGCTCCCCCGTGGAGGCCTGGCCAAATGAGCAATCCATGAAGGGGCACTCTCTCCGGAAATGCCCCTCTTGGCCACACTCGAAGCAGGCGCCGCGCTTTCCCGGCTCCGCCGGGCGGTGTGGGTCCCCGCCCGGTACTGTCGCCTCGGGGCTGTCCGACGTTGCGGGTCTGCCTCCGCTCTCCCAGCGGGCCCAGGGGAGGGGCGGGCCGCCCCCTTCCCCGGGGGCTTTCCCCTGGGCTCCGCTCTGCCGCGCCGCTCGGCGCTCCGCCGGTGGAGGGGCTGTCAGTGCGGGGAGTTTCTTCCCCGGCACTGCTCCGCTCCGTCGCGCCTCTCAGCGCTCCGCCGGTGGCAGGGCTGTCAGTGCGGGGAGTTTCTTCCCCGTCACACCCCTCCCCTCCTTGTCCCTCTGTCCCTTCCTGCTGTATTCCCCCTTCCTCACAGCTCGATAAGAAGTCCGCGTTGGCGTGCTCCCGCCCTGCCTTATGCGCCACCGAGAACTTGTACTGTTGTAAGAACAGGTACCACCGCATTATACGTGGGTTAGCCTCTCGCATATTATGCATCCACTGCAAGGGTGCATGGTCGGTTACCAACTGGAACTCGCCCCCTAACAAGTAGTAACGGAGTGCTTCTACTGCCCAGCACACTGCCAGGGCTTCTCGCTCGATGGTGGAGTACATCTGTTCTCGCGGCAGCAGCTTGCGACTCAGGTAGAGTATAGGCCTCTCGGCTCCGCCTTGCTGCTGGGCCAGGACCGCCCCCAACCCCACGTTAGAGGCGTCGGTCTGCACTAAGAAAGGTTTTGTGAAGTCTAGTTGTGCCAGCACCGGGGCCGGGGTAAGAGCCCTCTTCAGTTGTTGGAATGCCTCTTCACACTGGGGGGTCCACTGTACTTTCTGGGCGGCCCCGCCCTTGGTCAGGTCCGTTAATGGGGCGGCTATTGTAGCAAAGCACGGGATAAACCTCCTATAATATCCGGCCAGGCCCAGGAATTGCCGGACTTGTTTTTTCGTCGTGGGGGCGAGGTAGTCCCGCACGGCCTCGACTTTGTCCATTTGGGGCTTCAGTTGCCCGTTCCCCACCACATACCCTAGGTAGGCCACCTCGTCCTGTGCGAACGAACGTGCACTTGCCGGGGTTTGCGGTCAGCCGGGCTTTTCTTAGCGTCTCCAGGATCGCGCCGACGTGCCTTATGTGGTCCGGCCAGGATGTGCTGTACACAACCACGTCGTCAATATAGGCCGCCGCATACGCCTGGTGCTCCTCCAGGAGCTGGTCCATCATCCGCTGGAACGTGGCGGCGGCCCCATTTAATCCAAAGGGCATGGTCAGAAAGTGGTAGAGTCCGAAGGGTGTTGCAAATGCGGTCTTCTCCTGGGACCCCGGCGTGAGGGGGATCTGCCAGTATCCCCTGGTGAGATCAAGGGTCGTCAGGTATCGGGCTTTCCCCAGTCTCTCCAGCAACTCCTCCGTCCGTGGCATAGGGTATGCATCGAATTTGGAGATAGCATTAACCCTGCGGAAGTCTATGCAGAAGCGCAGCGTCCCGTCCCGCTTGGGCACCAAGACGATCGGACTTCTCCATTCGCTCTTCGATTTTTGGGTGACGCCCATCTGTAACATCCTCCTCACCTCCTCTTGCACCGTCCCCCATAACTTTCGGGGAAGCGGCCGCAGCGGTTCCCGCACCCTCCGCCCCGGCGTGGTTTGGATGTGGTGATTACTGCTGCGAAGGACCGGAGTAGGGTGCGTATTTCTTCCTTCTGGGGGTCGGTCAGCCGGGGCCCCAGGCACGGCTCCCCCTCGGGCTGGCTGAGGTCTGTGCCCCAGGGCCCCAATTCCGGTTCCACCGGACGAGTGGTCGCCAATAGGCTCTCTCGCGCGTTCCACTTCTTAAGAAGGTTCACGTGGTAAATCTGGGTCTTTTTGCGCTTACCCGTAAGCTGGACTTCGTAGTCTACGGGTCCCACCTGCCGCCGCACCTCGTAGGGGCCCTGCCAGGTCGCTAATAGCTTCGAGTCTGCCGCGGGCAGGAGCAGCAACACCCGGTCGCCTGGTGCGAACGTCCGCTCGCGGGCCCCCTGGTTGTACCACCGGGCCTGGCGTGCCTGTGCCGCCCGCAGGTTGTTCCGTTCAAGCTCGCCGGACATCTGTAGCTTCTTGCGCAGTTCCAAGATGTAGTGAACTGTCCCTTTCGCACGGGAGTCTTGCTCCTCCCATCCCTCCTTCAGAAGGTCGAGAATGCCCCTTGGTTGCCTGCCGTAGAGCAGCTCAAAAGGCGAGAAGCCGGTTGAGGCCTGCGGTACCTCCCGTATGGCGAACAGGAGGGCGGGCAGGAAGCAGTCCCACTCCCGGGGATCCATCCCCACAAATTTCCGCAGCATCGTTTTTAACGTTCTATTAAAACGCTCCACCAGCCCATCGGTCTGGGGGTGGTAGACAGAGGTCCGCAGCTTTTTTACTCGCAGCAGTTTGCATAGCTCCGTCATGACCCGCCCGGACACGTTCGTCCCCTGGTCGGTCAGGATCTCCCGGGGTATGCCCACCCGTGCGAAGATCTTGACCAACTCGGCCGCTAGCCCCGGGGCCTTCGTGTTCCTTAGTGGCACGGCTTCGGGATAGCGGGTTGCATAGTCAATGAGGACGAGGATATATTGGTTGCCCCTTTTGGACCGGGCCAAAGGGCCCACCAGGTCCAGCGCCACCCGTTCGAAGGGGGTATCTACCACGGGCAGCGGTACTAAGGGGGCTCTCGGGACCTTCCCGCCCCCGGCTCGCTGGCACTCGGGGCAGGACGCACAGAAGTCCTTGACCTCTCGGTGAATTCCGGGCCAATAGAAGCGCTGCATGACCCTCTGGGATGTCTTTTCTACCCCCAGATGGCCCGCCCAGGGGTTAGCGTGTGCCAGCTCGAGCACTTGCCACCAGAACCGCCCCGGTACTAACAGCTGCCAGTCTTCGCCCCCTTTCCCCGGTCGCGCGGTACAGCCGGTCCGCTCTTACCTCGAACCGTGGGCTCTGAGTGGGCTGACGTCCCGGGGTTGTCTCCCTCTGGGCCTGCTCCCACACGTGGGCCAGCGAGCGATCTTCCCTCTGTTCTCGCAGGAAGTCCTCTCCTTCGCCGTACGCCCCCGGCGGCATGGTGTCGCCGGCCTGGGCTTCCGTCGGTCCCCGGTCGCGCGGTACAGCCGGTCCGCTCTTACCTCGAACCGTGGGCTCTGAGTGGGCTGACGTCCCGGGGTTGTCTCCCTCTGGGCCTGCTCCCACACGTGGGCCAGCGAGCGATCTTCCCTCTGTTCTCGCAGGAAGTCCTCTCCTTCGCCGTACGCCCCCGGCGGCATGGTGTCGCCGGCCTGGGCTTCCGTCGGCCTGCCCGGTCGGGTAACGCCGCACCTCCCCGTGGATGCACCGGACGGTAACTGGGGACCCCCCGTCTTTCCCTCTGGGTGCCCCTTCTTCGCGTATTAGGGTCTGGTTGCATCCAGAGTCCACCAGGGCCCAGGTTGCCCGCCCGTCCAGGCTTACTGGCAGGGGGGTTGGTGGGGGGCCTGTACGCGGGTTCCGCTGCTCGTCCGTGGAGGCCTGGCCAAATGAGCAATCCATGAAGGGGCACTCTCTCCGGAAATGCCCCTCTTGGCCACACTGCGGGTTCCGCTGCTCCCCCGTGGAGGCCTGGC